CCTGATTGCTGCTCGGCGGAGGAGGGCCCGATGCCGCGGCGTCTGCTGCCAATGCCGCGGCCCGCGATGCTGGGAAGGCCACCCCCATGGCCTGCACCTCGGCGTGGATCGACTGCAGCAGCTGCAAGCCCTGGCCCGACGCCACCGAGCCCTCCGCGTTGTTGATGAGCGTCTGGAGGTTGAGCAGGTTGGTCGCCACCGCCACGAGGTCCATGCCCTGGTACCCTGCCGTGGCGATGGTGACGGCCTTCCTCGCCTCCATGACCTCCTTCTGCGGCTCCTCCACGTCGTCCGCCAAGGCGCTGGCCTTCTGGCGCAAGGTAGCGACGCGCTCCTCCGCCTCAGCCAGCTGCTTGTCCACGTCAAGCTTCTCCTTCGACTTGATGGCGAGGCGATCCTGGGCGCTACGCAGCACATCCTCTGGCGGGCGCGTCTTCCGCTCCTCGGCCTCCAGGAACTGGAGCTCCCGAGCGGCTGCGACGACCAGCGGGTGATCATCGTCGTACTTGAGGCGACGGAGGGCGGCGAGCCCCTTGCGGGCTCGGGCCACGGCCTGGGACTCCTCCAGCTGGTCCCTAGCCCGCTCCGCCCGCTCTCCGTCATCAGTGTCACGATCCCGACGGCGACGGCGATCAGCCGCAGCAGAGGCCGACCGCGTGCGTGCAGGTGCATCCGATCCCGCAGGCTTGCGTCCCTGCCAGTCTCGCCCACACTTCCAGCACGTCGACCTCGATGCGAAGTTGGTCTTGAAGCCGCAGAGCCTCGTCGCGACGCACGCCCACTGGCGATCCGCAGCTCCGTCAGCGCCTCCTGCGGCCGTCGCCCACGGGCGGGGGGTCTCCGCAGCGCCTGGCGCCATTGCGCCACGGTCACCACCGCCCGCAGTGTGTTCGCCGTGATGCCCTGCGAGGACGGCGCGGGCGCGTGCCTGCCTCAAGAGCAGGCGGGCGGCCGCGCGCGCTCGGCGAGCCCGCCGATGCCACGCGGGCGATCGCGCCCGAGCGGTCTCTGGCGGGGGAAACGGAATGTTCACCGACGCCCGCTGAACACGGGTGACGGCTGGGGGCTGAGGCAAGCGGGCCGACCCCTCGGCCACGGCCAAAGCCACCTGGAGGAGGAGGAGGAGGAGGGGGAGGGGGAGGAGGAGGAGGAGGAGGAGGAGGAGGAGGAGGAGGAGGAGGAGGAGGAGGAGGAGGAGGGGGAGGAGGGGAGGAGAGGAGGGAAGAGGAGGAGGAGGCATAGGAGGAGGAGGAGGAGGAGGAGGAGGAGGAGAAGAGGGGAGGAGGGAGGAGGGAGAGAGGAGAGAGAGGAGGAGGGGAGGAGGAGGAGAGGAGAAGGAGAGGAAGAGGAGAAGGAGGAGGAGGAGGAGGGAGGAGGAGGAAGGAGGAGGAGGAGGAGGAGGGGAGGAGGAGGAGGAGGAGGAGGAGAAGGAGGAGGAGGAGGAGGAGGAGGAGGAAGGAGGTAGGAGGAGGAGGAGGAGCAGGAGAGGGAGAGAGGAGGAGGAGAGAGGAGAAGGAGGAGAGAGGAGAAGGAGGAGGAGGAGGAGGAGGAGGAGGAGGAGGAGGAGAAGGAGGAGGAGGAGGAGGAGGAGAACAAGTTGTAGGTGGGAGCGAGCGTCCCAAGAAAGAGGGCTCCCCTGCACCACTCCTATTCCGCCCGCGTACCCGCCGCGGGGCATCGCACGACGGGCTCGGTGGCGATGGCGGAGTCCGAGGAGTCGACGTGGCTGTTCGGGGAAGCGTGGCCGTCGGCGAGGGCGTGGTCGGTGAGGACGTAGTCGGGGAAGCATGCGTTGTCGATGCCCGTGTAGCCCGGTACACCAGCTCTTCGTTCGGCTGGTCGATGTTCGCGAAGCTGGGGGCGACCTCGAGCTAGTCGGCAACAAAGAGCAGATCAGCGGGCTCTGTTACCAAGGCAGGCCCAGCAGCACGAGGAGTGGCGCCATCTACAGGCATGTCGAACAACTGGATGTCGTAGCGAAGAGCCGCTTCTGCCATGACCGGCAACGGCGACACCAAACCCATGCCACGGAGGGCCTGCAAGCGCTCTGCATGCTCTTCCACTGTCGCATCACAATGAAGTGCCTGCTTGACGGCGCCAGTCGAGGGTGGGACCCACTGCAGAGGGATAGAGCAATCGCGGCCAATCCCAGCTGGCACCCACATGTGATCATATTGCGGTCGTTTGTCCTGCCGCAGGGTCTCATGCATCATCAGAGCCCTGGGACGCATGCCCAACAATTCTTCATGCTGGTGATCAGAACGCGGTGCCACAACCACTTGCCATCCGAAGAGCCATGCAGAAGATCCCCTTGGTCATCGCTTTGCGGAGCATCAAGGAGACAACTTGGCGGTAGTTCATCATGAAGGGGATCATGATCCGCGCCGTTCGGAAGGAGATCAGCGTGTCTTCGATGAGCCACATCACTGACAGGTAGACCAGCGCTGTCTTGAAGATCAGCATGTTCTCCCACAGCCACAGCCACAAGAAACTCATCAAATCATGAGAAACGTGGTCGGGAAAGCACGTGACATGCGGAGTGGCAATTAGCGCTCCTGCGCCGTCGTCGTAGCCACTCGCGCCACGTAGTACAGCGAGGGACGCTGTGGGAGGCGATGGAGCCATCGACCTATGGAGCTCGATCGCCAGCCAAGCGAGGACAGCCGTAAGATCGGCAACTGACGTACGGTAGCGGTGTAGATGAACAAGCTCTGAACGTCGCAGAAATTGCGCATGAGGAACAGCCCAGTCAAGTGCAGGAGCATGGGTGAAGCCAGGGAGAACGACTGCACTACCCCGAAGAACACCAGCACCGCCAACATCAGGCAGAGCATCAGGGGCTGATACCAGGCGGAGGTGCATCCAGAACGCCAGTGTGTGCAGCAAGCTGGAGGGCAGCACGATGACGTCCAGCCTCCTGTCGTGGATCCGGTTGGGCACCAGAATCATCACGCGGAAGGACTCGAGGGTGCAGTTTCTGCGTTCGATCCTGCAGTGGAGCCGCTTGCTGAAGGAAGGGCGATTAGCAGAATCAGCATGAGGAAGCTCACCATGTGGCGGCGCCTCAAGTTGAGCATCAAATCCAAGATGGAGTGCTGCATCCCGAGGCTGTTCGCTAGACTGCAACGCGGCAGTACCACCGCCAGACACAAGCACATCGACACCTCGAGACAGCTCAAAGATACCGGGGGGACTGCGACCCGCAGTGCGCGCGAGCCACACAGAAGAAGCCAGCGGCGCCGCCGACTCGTGAGCGGAGGCAGCCCTTGAAACTCGAACGTGCTCGTCGGCAACTGCAGGACTCGGATGTCGCAACAAGGCGGGAAGCCCCCGCCATAAGAGCATCGTGGGTGAACCATGCAAGAAGAGACCGTAGCCATCCGCGGGACAACATCCAGAACCTTGAGTCGGGGATGGACAGACCCCCCTTTAGCAAAACGTGGTTTAGTGAAAACGACCTCGGGCCCAAACCTGGCAGGCGCAAGCCTGGAAAATAACGGCCACGGCGCCCTCTCGAGAACCGAAAACGGACAATTCACTAATCGACGTGTCACTGTTGGGGGTTCTGTCCACCCCCGATTGAGGTAGTAGAAGTCCAAGACGTTCGGCGAACGACGGACCCTAAGCAGCTCCACAGTCCCCAACAGGCACAATCGGGGGCTCGGACAAGGAAGCGCAGGAGCCAGCACTCGAAGGAGGCGCGGTAAGCCAACCAGTCTAAGACGCACTGCCCGAAGCCCAGGGCCCAGACGCCTTCGAGGAGGGAGTAGAACGCAAGGGCGAGCCCCAGTCAACGTTGGATACCGGCGGCAACCCACTGGTTGCGTCGTGAACGCACGACGCGGGAGCATCAATGATGGGCGGCCCAAGCACTTCAGCACGAGCCCGGCGCTGATGACGGCGCTGACGGTGTAGCCCACGCGATGCCACTACGGGACACGAGGAAGAAGCAGACCGGGCCTGGGGGGCCCAGCACTGTGCGTGACCGAGCAGCAGCATCGCCGAAGCCGTATGACGGCCGAGAGCTCCTGGGATGGAAAAAAACACAGGAGTAGCAGCGTTGAACTCGATGCTGCTTGCGGTTTGGGTAGACGCCCAAACTGGCCCGTGTGCCTATAAACGCCTGACGCGACGACCACCTAGAAATCGGTCGTTCAGGGAAGGACAACACTGAAGGGATACACCGCCGAAATTGAGCGTAACCAAGAGTAGGACCAGCTCAGGCCAGACGTGGCGACCCATTGCGCGAATGGCACACGACGTCGAACTGAACTCCGTGTCGAAGACGAGGGCAATAATACCTGAGTGCAGAATGACATGCAACGACACCAGGACTGCACGAGCCGCCAGTGACAGGAACATGGAGGCGCGCCGCGCGATGCCACAATCAGCGCCAAAAACATCCTGAGTCAGCGGCAAGACTGGCTTGAGCCAAAATGGCAACGGAGGAGGAAGGAAAAGGGGGAGGAGGGAGAGGAGGAGGAGGAAGAGGAGGAGCGCACGTACCTTCCCTAGGAGGAGGAGGAGGAGGAGGAGGAGGAGGGAGGAGGAGAGGAGGAGGAGGAGAGGAGGAGGAGGAGGAGGAGGAGGAGGAGAGAGGAGGAGGAGGAGAAAGGGGAGGAGGAGGAGGAGGAGGAGGAGGAAGAGGAGGAGCAGGAGAAGGAGGAGGAGGATGAGGAGGACAGAGGGGGAGGGTGACGAGGGGTAGGCGTGAGGAGGAGGGGGGGGAGGAGCGCAGGAAAGAGAAGCAGAGCTTGAGCAGGGACCGACCGTCCCGGCATTCCTATAGTCCTACCACGAAATGTTCCTAGAACCCAGAAGTGTTCTAAGAACAAAAACAATTCTCTTAGAACATTAACACGATGTGTTAATCCGAGACGGTCTCAACCAGAAATGTTCTAAGAACATTTCGTGCATACCACAAGAGGTTCTTAGAACATTGTTTGGTGGGGCTATAGGCGAACCGGGACGCTCCGCCACTGCATGAAAAACGAGAGAACGGTGGGACAGGAGGGCGAGGGCGAGGGCGAGGAGGAGGAGGACGACGAGGAGGACGACAAGAGACACAGCGAGCCCAGAGCGAGAGGCAAACGGGCCGCCACGGCGTCGCTTCTGGACGGCCGCGCGGGGACGACAGCTCCGTCCCTCGGCCGGCGCGCCGCCGTCACCCCGGCGACGCCGCTGCGACGCGGCCCCGCCGCCTGCCGAGGAGGACAAGGAGAAGAAGGAAGAGGATAGAGCAGAGGAGGAGGAGGAGGAGGACGACGAGGATCAAGGGGGCGGAGGAGGAGGAGGAGGAGGAGGAGGAAGACGAGGCGGAAGAGGAGGAGAAGGAAGAGGAGGAGGAGGATAGGGCGGCGGAGGAGGAAGAGGAGGAGGAGGAGGAGGCGACGGAGGAGGATGGGGAGGAGGGGATACGGAGGAGGAGGAGGAGTGGGAGGAGGAGAAGGAGGAGGAGGCCGACCAGTACGAGGAGAAGGAGGAGTGAACGAAAGAACGCACGAACCATGTTGCTGTTGGGCTGTACTGACTACACTGGCACGGAAGGAGAACAGGAGACTGCAGCACCATCAGGGGGCAGAATAGGGGGACGACGTCGACGACGACGACGACGACGACGACGACGACTGGCAGGGAGGAGCGGCGACCATCTCATGGCATCAGAATCTGGTCGCGCAGACAGACCCTCGCCTGGGAAAGGGTGCTTCATGATCCGCGCCAGCTTGGCACACGCTTGCGCTGCAGCATGGAAGATCAGCTGGTGCTGGTTCCCGTGAACCTTGTTGGTGGCATCCACGAGGTCTCTTAGATCCAGCTGGAGCCACATCCAACCTTCTCACGCCAAAACCTCGTCCTCGCCATTCCTTCAAGGCGGGCAGGGGGAAAAAACCGAAACCCACTTCGCCGATAAAAGGGGGAACGGTGAATTTGGTTCCTCTTTCGGCCTATCCAACTGACCTTCCAGATCCAGCCTCATCGCATCCAAGAGACGTCCCCAGCTGTCCGAGAGCAAACTCCCAGAAAACGAGTCGACAACCCCGCAGCAGCGTGGCTCGCTTCCTCGGCCACGGCCCTCGGGATCCCTCAATTTACGTGGGGAGTCTCTGATGGGACTGATACACCGACTGCGTTGATCGACGAGCATCGTTCTTTAACTGTACCTGGTCAGGCCGACAAGATTATCTTGGCCAGTCCGTAGTCGCAATCTTCCGCACCACTATCTTGGCCATGGCGGGGGAGACGACGTGCAATTCGATGCCACCGCTCGCCTGGTCCACCGCACAGGTCTCGATATACGGCTGTCAGCTTAACAATTCGGAGACGGCTATACCGCTCGCAACTGCGCTGACTGCCTCCGTCATGCCCGTCGGAGCCGATCCGGATCTCCGTCACGGCCGACCCGCCCAGGTCGCAGTACTCCTCATGCTTCGGGTGGCTGGCCTGGGGAAGCTCGGCCTCCGCCGCCTGCACAGCCTCGATGACCACCTGCTTGCCGCAACCGCCGGCGTGCACCTCGGAGGACGGCACCACCGGCGCCGACACTGAGCTGCCCTCGTCCCCGAGGCTCTGCTCCATGGCGCCTGCTGCGCCTGGGCCCCCGGGAGCGCCGCTTGGCCTCCAGCGCCGAGGCCGGGCACCGAGTCTGCGCCGCCGCCGAAGTCACTGTGCAGCGCCCAGTTCCTGAAGGCTGGGCTTCCTCCAAAGTGGTCGCATTCACATGTAAAGCCTCCCGAAAACCTAAGGCAAACTGCAAGACAATCAAGTAACACCGAGCCCCTCTCCAACGAAAGGGGCTCCTTCTTCAGCGCCCCGACTGCAGTCCAAGCCCCCGCCTCCTTCCTCCTCCGTTGCGCACGGTCTCCCCTTTTTGTTACCATCACCTCTGCAAAGCAGCACCAGCCCCACGAGAACAAACGGGGGCCCCAAGACCGCGAGCACGAGCGGCCCCGGCAGGTGGAAGAGACCTGGCACCACGGTGGCCACCAGCACTCCGGGCGCGAGCAGGAGGATCACCTCTGCTGTCGGGGATGGCGGGGGTCCTCGCCGAGCTCCCGCAGAGAGCGCCCTCGCCGCCCTCGCTGCCCCGCCCCAGGGCGCGGCGGCCCGCAGGGACTCCAGTTGCAGTACAGCCGGCCCGTAGCATAAGGATGCGCGAGAAGGCTGCGAGGGCCTTGGACTCCCATGTCGACCCAAACATGATCGCGTCGTAAAAAAACAGGACGATTGGTTTTTCGTTATTTTCGGCTCCGGGGGGCCCTCGCTGGGCCTCGGGACCGTCTACAAACGACTCAGGACGAAAAACTGGTCCCAGGGAAAGGGTCGGGACTTCCAGGGAAGCCGTCCTGAAAAAAAAAATAGGACGTAGCGTGTCTGGGGAAGAGTCTCGAGCGGGGCGCGGCCAACGAAAGCGGCCAATGATGGCCGAAGAGGCGAGGATGCAAGGGTACCCTTGGCAAGACTGCCCATCCTAACTATGCGGGGTGACTGTGTCTGGCCTGGTGGGAGGCAGGGCCAGGAAGCAGGGCGCCAGCAGGTGCAGTGAGACGCAGCTGGCACCACGACGGGAGTGAGCTTCGGCACGAGCCGGGGCACGGGAGATGATCCTCACCACGGCGATCCCGAGACCGCCTGCGCGGCCCCACCTCAGGAGCTGGAAATGCCATAGTTTTCCCCGAGAGAAGCAGGGCCCATGGGAACGGAGCTCACGGCGGCAAGATGTGTGCCGTGAGGGTCGGGCGGAAGGCAGGCAAGGATCTGGCCTCAGATCAGAGGTATCCGAGCGGACCCCCTGGGGATCGGACATGTTGAGCCGAAACGGCATACGAAAGGTAAAGGAGGATGACGAAGAGGAGGAGGAGGAGGGGGAGGAGGAGGAGGAGGAGGAGGAGGAGGAAGAAGAGGAGGAGGAGGAGGAGGAGGAGGAGGGGCAAGAGGGGCAAGAGGGGGAAGGTGGACAGGGAGGAAGAGCAGAGGGAGGGCGAGGAGAGGGGAGGAGGAGGAGGCGGAAGAAGAGGAAGAGAGGGATGAGGGTGAGCACGAGGAGAGGAGGGGGAGGCCGAGAGGGAGGAGGGGGAACAGGATGGGGGAGAAGGAGCGGGAATAATTACGACGGAGGGTGAGCGGAGGGAGGCGGAGGAGGAGGAGGCGGCGAAGGAGGCGGAGCAGCGCCGCCGCCTCCGGGTGTAGCCGCGCCACGCCCGCTGGACCTCCTCGGGGGAGGCGGGAGCGGGAGGCGCGCACCCGCAGCCCGCCGCCCCCTCGCCCCCCCGCTCTCTCTCGGGCAGGAGGCTCCTCCTCCTCCTCTTTCTCCTCCTCCTCCTCCTCCTCCTCTTCTTCTTCTTCTTCTTCTTCTTCTTCTTCTTCTTCTTCTTATTTTTCTTCTTCTTCTTCTTCTTCTTCTTCTGCTTCTTCTTCTTCTTCTTCTTCCTCCTCCTCCTCCTCCTCCTCCTCCTCCTCCTCCTCCTCCTCGACGCGCGACAAAGGATGCAAGGGCCTTGGGAGGGCCATGCCGACGCTGTGCGGGCGGGGCGCGGCCAGCGAGAGAGCGGCCGAGGGTGGGCCGAGGAGGCACGGATGCGAGGGTGCCCCTGGGAAGGCTGCCCATCCCCACCATGCGGGCTGACTGTGCCCACCACGTCGCTCGGTCGGCCAAGGAGCTCTGTGTTCAGTGACCGCCTCCCTCCCCTCCTCCCCCAGGGACCTCCGACATCGTAATTTTGCTTTCCCAACCTCGATCCCTAGAGGTCTGGACCCCTTCCCTGGGACCGGTTCACTGGCTCTTCACCCTGAGTGATCGTTTTTTGGCGGTCCCGAGGCCCAGTGAGGGCCCTCAGAGGCTAAAAATTGCGAAAAGCCTTTCGCCGTGATTTTTGCTTCACAGCGTGAAGAGCGTGAAGGGGTCTGGGTCCCTTGCCTGCTCCCTCACCCCCCGTGTCCTCCGCGGCACCAGCTCGCAGCTCCATCAGCTCCACCACGAGGCCCTCGAACAGCGCCCCGCGGGCCTCCAGGCAGTCGCGCCACCACCTCTGCAGCCTCTCTGGCGCCGGAGGGAGGCACAAGGCGGCCTTGCCGTGGGTGGCTCTTGAGGTTTTCGGGGATGCAGGGATCGACCTAAACAATTTGTTTTGTTTTCATGCTGTTGTCGTTTCCCCTCGTTGTGTCTTCAATCCGCCTTTGCTGCAAAACGACATCGAAACAGAAAAACGGCACACGGAATCGCCAAAACACCGTTTGAGTCGACCCCCGCGGGAATTTTCCTTGGCACCTGAGATTTCCTCGCCTGGGGACCCTCTCCCGCAGGAGGCGCGCCTCGCCGAGACGCAGTCCGCAAGGTGCCACGACCGTCACGAAAGGCCGCCAGAGGCCCGAGTTACGGTCGGCCCGTATCACTAGGATGCACAGCAAGGGTGCACGAGCCCTGGAAGCCCATTTCGGAGCTCTTCGAGCGGGGCGCGGCCAACGGAAGCAGCCGAGGCTGGGCCGAAGGGGCAGGGACGCAACCCAGACATGCGACGTCCTGTTTTTTTCAGGACGGCGTCCCTGGAAGTACCGACCCTTTCCCTGGGACCGGTTTTTCGTCCTGGGTTGTTGACGGTCCTGAGGCCCTGCGAGGGCCCCCTGGGGCCGAAAACTGGCAAAAACCTCCGATCCTGATTTTTGTTACGACGCGATTATGTCTGGGAAGGGTACCTTCGGTAAGGCTGCCCATCCTTAGCATGCGGCTTGACTGAAGGACCCACAGGACGGCCGGCCCAAACCAGGGGAGCCCAGAATCGAATCGATAAGTCGGATCGGCGATCGAAATTAGCCGGATCGGCGGAAACCGGCAGCCGAGTCAGGAAACGTCGAATCGGCGGAAACCGGCAGGCTAGCGCGCGCCCCATAAGAAGTCGGCGCCCAACTCGGAATCCGAAATCGGATCGAGTCGGAATCGTAATCCATGGAAGTCGAACCGAATCATAATCGGAGGAGTCGAAACGAGCCCTGCCAAACCTCCTCGCCGCGCGGCAAGGACGGGACGGGAGGCCCTCGGGCGGTCCTCGGCCTCCACGGGGGGCCCCCGCACACCGGGCTTGTTGGAGAGAGCGGGCCGGGGCGCCGAGCCGGCCCCCCCGTGGGGGAGGGGCCTACGGTCAGGTCGGGCGTGTCCCCCGACATGCGGAGCTTGGACGAAACATAAGAACTGGCCAAAACATGTATATATATACTTACAGTTATTCGCTTCGGGCGATCCCCAGGGAAACCTTGGGCCCCTGTCCTCCTCCTCCTGGCCCATGCCTCCTTCCCCTCCTCCTTCTTCCCCCCTCCCATCCTTAGACTGAGGGACGCAGGCGAGGAGGGCGCCCGCAGCGGGGCGGCGGCAAGGACTCAGGGATTCTTTGGACAACTGGGGGTCTGGCACCGCTGTGTCTTGTTATGTGATGATAAATTGTGCTCTGGTTTGTTGGGTGTATCGGATGTTATGTCCACTATGTTGTGCATAATGTGATATGGTACGGTATGTGATGTTATGTCATGGTCGGGTGCGTACTGATACTTTCCATGTTCTGCCATGATTGCGTTACGTTATGCTATATTAGATTGTGACGTGTTGTGCTCTGTCGCGTTCGTCGCTATGCTATGTTGGCGTGTTATGACAAATTCTGAAGGCTGTGTGGTGATATGACGTCAGGACGTGTTAGGTTATGATCGGTCCTGTTATGGTATGGTGTGGTATGCCATGTTATGTTCTGCAATGCTTTGGTATGACATGCTTTGTGATGTTATGTTGTGATGCAGTGTATCATGACTTGCTATGTTATGTCATGGTTGTTAGGTGATGGTATGTTGTGTCATGTTCTTCTTCTGTTATGTCATGATATGAGTAGGCATGGTATGTGGTGATATGCCATGGTTTGGTTTGAAATGACACTACCATGTGATGTTCCGTCATGTCATGTCATGATATTGTCTGGTTATGTTATACTATACGGTGGCATGTTGTGTTCGTCGCTATGCTCCGTTGGTGTGTTATGACATGTTCTGAACGCTGTGCCATGATATGATATGTTTCGTCAATGAGTGCTCGCTTATGCTCAATTATGGTATTTTATGGTGTGGTATGTCGTGTTATGTTCTGCAATGTTCTGCCATGTTGTGCTTCGTGTTCATGTGTTACGCTGTGCTTGTCATGGTCGGAGGTTGGGGGGTGAGATCGAAGTGGAACGGAGAGCCCCCCTACCGGGAAATCGATTTCGGTTTCGTGTTCGTGCGTGCCGTGCGGGCGAGGCGAAGCTGCGAGGGCGGGCGAGAGAAAGTCTCCTGTGGCTGAGGCGCGGCCGGACCCAATGATTCCCTTCCGGGCGGCCGGGGCCCCGCGGTGTCCCGCCGGTGTCCCGCTGGTGTCCCGTGTGCCTGAGGCGCGGCCGGACCAAATGATTCCCTTCCGGGCGGCCGGGGCCCCGCGGTGTCCCGCCGGTGTCCCGCGGTGTCCCGCGGTGTCCCGCGGTGTCCCGCAGTGTCCCGCGGTGTCCCGCCGGTGTCCCGCGGTGTCCCGCGAGGATGATGATGATGATGATGATGATGATGATGATGATGATGATGATGATGATGATGATGATGATGATGATGATGATGATGAGATGATGATGATGGTGTCCCGATGAAGATGATGATGTTGATGATGGTGTCGATGATGATGATGATGTCCCGATGATGAGATGATGATGCTCATGATGATTATGTTGATGATGATGACGATGATGGTGTCCCGATGATGATGATGATGATGATGATGATTCCGATGATGTTGGCGATGATGATGTTGATGGAACCGGTGTCCCGGCGATAATGATGTTGATGATGATGATGTTGATGATGATTATGGTGTCCCGATGACGATGCTGATGATGATGATGATGGTAATGATGATGATGGTGATGCTGATGGTGTCTCGATGATGATAACAATGATAATCACGATGTTGATGATGATGTTGCTCATGATGATGATGGTGCCCCAATGATGATGATGTTGTTGATGATGGGATGATCATGATGGTGATGGTTGCCCGAGGATGATGACGATGTTGATGATAATGTTGATGATGAGAACGATGGTGATCATGATGGTGTCCTGATTATGATGGTGATTCTGATGATGCTGCTGATGATGATGACGATGACTGTGCCCCGATGATGATGTTGATGATGAGATGATGATGATGGTGATGGTGATGATGATGTTGTCCCGATGATGGTGCTGACGTTGATGATGATGTTTATGATGATGATGATGATGATGACTGTGCCCTCATGATGATGACGATGTTGGTGATGATGTTGATGTTGATGTTGATGATGTTGATGATGATGATGATGATGATGATGATGATGATGATGATGACGTTGATTGTGAAAGCGATTGTGATATCGATAGTGAGATCGATATTGAGACCGAATGTGAGATCGATTGTGTGATCGATTGTGAGATCGATTGTGAGATCAATTGTGAGATCGATCGAATGAGATAGGTCGAGTGAGATCGATCAAGTGAGATCGATCGAGCGAGACCGATAGTGAGATCGATACTGAGATCGATAGTGAGACCGATTGAGTGAGACGTTGGTTCCCCCCCCGAACCTCCTTATCACCCGAAGGGTGGTCGTATAGGTATTGCTATGTTATGTTATGTCATGTTATGCTGTGTTTTGCTGTGTTATTCGTGTGCGTGTGTGTGTGTGTCGAAGGCACGAGGCGGGACTCCCAGGGACTATCGGGGACTCTCGGGACAACTTGGGGTCTGGCGGCCGCGGTACGCGTGGGTTGGCCGGGGGGTCTGTTCTTAAAATCTAACTCCCCAACCTGTCGGGTGGGGAGGTGGGGAAAACTGCCCCCAAAAAACTCAACACATCGTCCCCTGACTAATTCGAGGCTCTTTTAGGATATTCCTCCTGTAGAGAGACACGCCCGACTTTCAGCCTACGGTGTGGGCACTGGACACGGACTCCTTGGATGAGGAGTCCAGGGTCCAGAAGCCAGTGGGCCTCCCATCGTGGAGCGGCCATGGGTACCACCGCCGCCCTCATTCGGCGGTGGACAAACCTCCCTTTAGTAGACCACCCTTTAGTGAAAACGGCCTGGGGCCAGAATCGACGCGCCTGGACCCGCAAAAATGACGGCCGCGACGCCCCCTCGCGAACCGAAAACGGCCAATTCACGAATCGACGTGTCAGGGTAGGAGGCCTATCAATCTCCGACCCATGGGATGAGGACCCCTCCCAGGGTCTGGCGCCGACGCCCACTGGAGAGGAGGAGGAAGAGGAGGAGGAGGAGGAGGAGGAGGAGGAGGATGAGGAGGAGGAGCGATGAGCGAGGAGGAGGAGGAGGAGGTGGAGGAGGAGGTGGAGGAGGAGCGAGGAGCGAGGAGGAGGAGGAGGAGGAGGAGGAGGAGGACGAGGAGGAGGAGGAGGAGGAGGAGGTGGAGGACGAGGAGGAGGAGGACGAGGAGGCGGAGGAGGAGGAGGACCTCGGTGCAGACCTCCGGGCGCCGAGGGGGAAAAAGCCCCCGCCCGCCGGAGAGAGAGGGCGGGGGGCGGCCGCGGGGCCGCAGAGAGTGTGGCCCGAGGGGGCGCGCGGCGTGCCGACCGCTGCGCGAGCGAGGGTGCGGCCCGACCTCGGGCTCTGGGCCCCCCCGGCGGCCCCCGAGGCCCCCGCCGCCGCCGCCCTTCGCGAGGAGGAGGAGGAGGAGGGGGAGGAGGAGGAGGAGGAGGAGGAGGAGGGAGGGGGAGGGAGGGGGAGGGAGGGAGGGAGGAGGAGGAGGAGGAGGAGGAGGGGGGGGAGGAGGAGGAGGGGGGAGGGGGGAGGGAGGGAGGGGGCATGCCCTCCTATGCAGGCGGATTCGGGGAGAATTGCTTGATTTGTGCCAAACAATGTTCAAGGAGGATTCAGGATACTAGGGGGATCGCCCCCGGACCATTTTTGGACTGGTTTCGGATATTCCTCCTGTAGAGGGACATGCCCGGCTGCCCGACTGAGTACCTGGGGTCCCTCCTCGGCAGGGGGTCCCTCTCGCACGTATAGCCGACCGCCACGCCCTCCTTGCCGGAAGCTGGGGAGTCCCCAGGTCCCTCGCGTTGCGAACCAAGTACGACAAGAGGTCTTTCGCCATTTTGTCGGCGCGCACAAGTGGGTAGGGGAAGGGGGAAAGCTTCTCAGGAGGCTGCTTCTTAGACGCGTGCCGGCCTCGCGCCTACAGACGAGGCCCGCGCTTCTAAGGAGCAGAGGTGCTTCTAAAAAGCCTTCCCCCCTTCCCCTGCCCCCCTCTACTCGTGGCCGACCATTTTCGGCTTCCGGGGGCCCTCACTGGGCCTCGCGGGACCATCAAAGGACGACTGTCCTGGGGAAGGAGTCCAGACCTCTGCCGGGGGTCGACGTCGCGAAAAAATCACGACGTCAGGGGTCTGAGTCCGAGGACCTCCATTTCCAGGCGCAGCATTTTGTTTTCGCTCCAGTCGTATTCGTCTGGCTTCGAGGGCAAGGACCCTCGGGGATCGATCTGGCTCGAGAGGTTCCGCATAAAGATGGGGTCGAAGACGCCGGTCGCGAGTTTCAATAGTGCGATTATTCCCGACGTCGGATCTCAGTGGAGGGGGAGGGGAAGAGGACGCAGGCAACACCCCAGACATCCGGCGCCGGAAAACCGACGGGACAACACGGCGGGACACCGACGGGACACCGACGGGACACCGACGGGACAATTTCGGGACACCAGCGGTTCACCGACGGGACACCAGCGGGCCACCGACGGGCCACCGACGGGACACCGACGGGACACCGTCGGGGCACCAACGGGACACCGGCTGGACAACCCGGCGGGACACCGACGGGACACCGACGGAACGCCGACGGAACTTGCCGAACAAATCTGAGCGCAAGCTTCAGGTCGGGCATGTCCTCCTGCAGGCAGATTTCAAAGGGGAAAAAGTTAAGACATCTGTCAACAGCATGCAGAAGTAGTTCAAAGAGCAACAAATGTTCGACTACAGTCGGGGCGTTGACCTAAGGAACCCTACATAAGGAACGAGGCCCCCTTTTCCCATAAGTTCAGCTCTGATGTTCCATGAAAGCCTCAGGAAAACCCAAGGAGCACTGCAAACCAACTAAGGAACACCGAGCCCCTCCCCAACGAAAAGGGCTCCTCCTTCAGCGCCCCGACTGTATACCCGAAAACTCCTCCTTTCAGCAGGACGTGCCCGACCGAACGCCACCTTCCTGGGCCCGCGCCGCCGAGAAGCAGCTATACGGAGCCGCCCCCGCCTGGAGCGGCGGCGGCGCCCCGCGGCGGCGGCGGCGCCACCGCTGCCGCCGCACTTCGACGGCGAGCGCCGTCGCGACTTGCCACTGAGACGAAGCCAGGACGAGGATGAGATCGGGCGAGGACCGGGGGGTAACGAAAGGGGGGGGGATAGCAAAGGGCAGGGCAGCGAAATCGGCTCACGCGGCTGACTTTCCCAGCGCCTCCCGGCGCCGGGAGGCGCCCATGTACCGAGGAATGGGTCCGGCGGCGGGGCCGAAACCAGCTGCATGCAGCAGATGTCGTACCCCCCCCCTTCCCTAGCCCCCCTTTTGTTCGGCCCGAGAGGATAGATCGAGAATCTCTGAGATCCAGCGGCTCTGCAGGATGTCTCGGGCGCCGCTCCCTTCTCAGAGTCTGAGCGTTCCCCGAAAGCGATGACCCACCCGAAAGCGATGACCCCGCCGCCCATCGTGCCCCACCCAACTCGGGAACAATAGTGCAGATGGTGAGGGACTTCTGCCGCCACGGTGCCGTGTTTTGAACACGCTGGACATATCTGGAGAGAGAGAGAGAGGGCAACGGCCACGTGGCGGATCCCGAAGGTTGCCCCCCCTCTTGGGGCCTCTTACCTCCGCGGGCCCTCCGCCGGCCTTCCGCCGGCGGAAGCCGGCGGAGGCGGCCTCGCTCTGCTTCCGCCGCCGTCCGCCGCCTCGCACCGAGGAAGCGACCAGAAGAGAGAAAAAAACCTGCACAAACATAAACTCGTGGCGCTCCGCGCGGATTTTTCTTGGATCTGTGCCAGGGGCGGCGCCCAACGCGGATTCAAAAAAATCAGAAGAAAAAAACCTGCATAAACATAAACTTGTGGCGCTCCGCGCGGAGTTCTTGGGTCTGTGCCAGGGGCGGCGCCCCTAACGCGGATCCAAAAAACAGCTCCGCGCGGACCTCCAAGAGTTTGTGCTTATGCCGTTTTTTTTCTTCTTCGAGCAGTGGCAACTCCTTCGACCCACGAGGTCAAGGCCCCTTCTTGCAAGGAGGAAGAGGAAGGAGGAGGAGGAGGAGGAGGAGGAGGAGGAGGAGGAGGAGGAGGCGTCGGCAGAAGGCAGAAGGCGACGGCGCCCCCGCTCCGGGCCGCTGGGGCCAGGCCGGCGGCGGCGGCGGCGTGGTCGTCCGCGGCGTCGCCGTCGTTGGCGCGCCGTCGTCGGCGGCGTCGCCGCTGGGGGAACCAAACCGATACCGCTGCTCCCCGGACCTCTCCTGGGGTGGATTCCGACCAGGACTTCGAAGCGAATCTAGCGGTGGCGACGAGGGCCTCCCAGGAGGCCCCCAAAAAGGGAAAACGAGGCGAGGGCAGCGGTATGGGTACAGTTCCCCCTCTGGCCACGGGCCCCCGGACCCCCGATGTCGTGACTTTTTCGCAGCGTCGACCCCCAGTGGTCTGGACCCCTTCACTGGGCCTGGGACTGGTTTTTGTTCGTCCCGAGTCGTTTTTTGGTAAACGGTCCCGAGGCCCAGTATAAGAGCTTATGGAGGCCGAGCGTAGCGAAAACCCCCCCGTCGCGATTTTGTTTACAACGCGACTTCGGCGCCAGCGTCGGCGGCTTCAGGGTCGTCCGCGGCGTCGCCGTCGGCATCGTCGTCGTCGGCGTCGTCGTCGGCGGCGTCGCCGCGGCCTCAGCGCCGCCCCCGCGCGGGACGCGCCGCGGCCGCCAGAGGCGCGGCCGTTGGAGGCGAAGCCGCCGTCGGCCGCCGCCGCGGGCGGGCGGGGCGGGGGCTCCTGGGGTCGGGGACGCGCAAACGTGGATTGGCGATCCTCCTGCTCCTCCTCCTCCTCCTCCTCCTCCTCCTCCTCCTCCTCTCGTCCTCGTCCTCTCGTCCTCCTCCTTCCGCTCCTCCTCCCCTCCTCCTCCTCCTCCCTCCTACTCCTCCTCCTCCTCCTTCGGCTCCCTCCCCTCCTCCTCCCTCCTCCTCGCTCATCGCTCCTCCTCCTCCTCCTCCTCCTCTTCCTCCTCCCCTCTCCTCCTCCTCTTCCTCCTCCTCCTCCTCCTCCTCCTCCTCCTCCTCCTCCTCCTCCTCCCCCTCCTCCGCCGAGAAGCGAAGGCCAGCCGTCTTCGGAAGAAGAGTAGCGGCAGAGGAGCAAATAGTTTCAGTTGCCGGCACGGACGTCATTCGGGGGCGCGCCAACATGGATTAGCGATCCATGGATTTCGAGGGGAGGACAACCGGAAGAGAATGATGCACATACACCGATCCTGGCCAGGGCCATCCCGAGCACAAGACCTGTGCAAATGTCCGCCCTCCTGCCCTGGCCAGGACGGCACAGGCACCCATCCTGGGCCTACGGTGTGGGTCTGGCCAGACTCGGTGCACCCGCAGTGGTCTCTTCGCCCGGGAGGCAGGTGTCGGGGGCGCTCAAACGTGGATTGGCGATCCATGGATCTGGCGCGCGGTCGCCGAGTCCATGGATTGCCCGTGATCCCCGCCCCATTGATCCATGTTTCCGATCGCCCGATGGGGGGCTGGGCCCCTCGGTCTTCCCTTCGGCTCTCCCCTGCAAAGCCTCGCTCCTTCCCCCGACCCTGTATCCTCCCCTCGATCCTCCCTCCGAAACCTGGGTGTCCTCCCCCGATCGTCGATCCTGCCTCGGCCCTCCTCCCCCAGAGCCTCTGGAGGCACCCTGGACGGGGTCGGAGGAGATGGGGGTCGGAGGATCGCGCCGCATCGCCGATGCATCGGCGATGCGGCTCGACGTCGTCGATGCATTGCCGACGTCGACGATGCACCGCTGGTGCATCACCGATGCATCGCCGATGCATCGCCGATGTACCGGCGATGCGGCGACGTCCTCCGCCCCCATCTGCTCGGACCCCATCTAGGAGGCCCTGAGAAACCTGAGCCCTCCCCCGATCGTCGATCCTCCCTCGAGCCTCCTTCCGAAGCTTCGATGCTCCCCCGAGCCTCAACCTGCTGCGACAGCAGCAGAACAGCACACGTTACGACGGGATGATGTTCGGTTTCGCTGTCGGGCTCTGGGGGCCCTCCCTGGGCCCCAGGTCCGTCGAGGGGCGGCTCGAGGTGAAAAAAACTGCCCCGGGGAAGGAGCATGTGGCAAGGGGGCTCACGCTGCGAACCAAGCCGCGACGAGGGAGACCTGGGACTTTGCCGGGGAGCGCAAGAGGGGTTCCTCACTGGGCGCCAGGTCCGTCGAAGATGGGCTCGAGAGGAAGACGCGGTGCGGGGGCAGGAGCGCAGAGGGGTCCACACTGCGAACCAAGACACGACGAGGCCCAGACCCCCGACGTCGTGATTTTTTCGCAGCGTCGACCCCCAGAGGTCCGGACCCCTTCCCCGCGACCGGCTTTTCGTCCTGGGACGTTTTTTGTCGGCCGCGAGGCCCGGGAAGGGCCCCCGGAGGCCGAAAATGGCGAAACATCTTTCGTCGTGATTGTTTCACAGCGCGAGGTCTGGGGGGAGACCTGGGACTTTGTCGGAGAGCGCAGTGGGGTTGGCGACGTGGGGCCGGCTCTAGAAGAATCTCAGGGGCTTCTCAGAAGGCAGGAATTCGATCCACATCTTCGCATCTGAGAACGTGTGAGAATGAACCCAAAACGTTTGAGAATTCGATCCATATCTTCGCATACATCTTCGCATAGTCCATGTGCATATGCAAGCAATTCTGGAGTGCGTGGTTTCCAATACCGCGACCCTGACAGAAGAGAAGACGAAAACGATAGACACATACTTCGTCATTCTGGAAATCTATCGTGGGGCAGGCCCCGGAGGTATTCTAGCCCGTGCTGCGTGAAACGCATTGGCACTTGGAACATAGAGGGTTTGAGGGGTGATTCCATCATTAAGCTAACTGAGCTGCAGCTTGCGATGCAACAGCATAACATTGATATTTGATGCACTCAAGAGGCACATCTTCTTGGAGCCGAATAGTTTCAGCAAGACGGATACCTCATTTTCAAAATGAGGTATCCGTCCTGATCCAGATCCAGAAGGGGAGCCTGATCCAGAAGGGCGTCCTTGGGCGGGCGAGGGTTTCATAGTGTCGCCTAGAGTACGCTCCGCAGTCGTGGCCTTTAAAGTTCATTGTGATCGGTTGGCGACTCTTCGCATGCGAATGCACGGAGGGATGTGGACACTCGTCTCAGCCTATGCTCCTCACTCTGGACACGATTTCGAGAAGCGGCAGAACTTCTTCAACGCGCTCGAGGGGCTCGTCCGGCCGACCACGGACCACAGCATGACGTATGCTTTTGGGGACTTCAACGCTCGTCTGCGTCACACTGGTGCTTCTGAGGACCACATGATTGGGCCGTTCGTGTTCAAGGCGGCGCCCCGACATGACCTCCAGGAGATCGCAACTTCGCATCAGCAGCTTCTATTCGAATGTTGCGAGGCGTGTGATCCAATTGTTGCAAACAGCTTCTTCGACAACCCTCTGGACATGCACGTTTCATGTCGCAGTCTTTGAACGCACCCTATGGAACCAATTTCTGCAGAACGTTCCGCCCAGATCGATCCTGTACTATGCCACCGGAGCGACCTGGCCACGATCACGAGTTGCCAGACGAGCCGGTCAATCGCATTAAACAGCCATCACTTCATCACGATCGCAGAGACCATTGTGAAGTTCAAGCCGGAGTCCCAGGTTGAAAAGAAATCACTAGACAAGTCTGCGCTTCGACACTCAGGCGTTCGAGCTGAGTTCACACATAGGTTCATGCAACCGTCTTCTGGCCAGAAATGATCATTGGACGATGCTGCGGAGGAGCTTCGAATTGCTTTCGCCCATGCCGCCGGCGCGCTTCCTGACAGAGGTCCCCTGGCCAGGCGGCCACTGACAAGCCAAGCTACGCTGGAATTGATTTCGCGCCGGGACGCCTGCCGCAGGACAGCCGACCACGAGGGTGAACACAAACTCCACAAGCTCATAAGAAAATCCGGCGAAGAAGATCGTAAAACGAGGCTGGATGAATTCACTCGCGGGGTGAGTTGGGAAGCCACCAGGTACCTCCGAAAGCCCAGGGCCGTCAAGCATGTCTGCATCAGAGAGCCAGACGGCAGTCTGAGTGACTTGGCGAGCAGGGCAAATGTGATGGCCGACTATGTTGAGCATGTGCAGTGGCAGCGACGTTTCGGCAGCGAGAGCCCAGCAAGTGACGCGCTGCTCGGGCCTATTCTGCCAATCGCCATATCGTCGTTCACGTTGAACGAACTCCAGAGAGCGCTTGGCAAACTGAAGGTTGGAAAGGCGGCTGGTCCTGACGACGTTCCGCCTGACTTCTGGAAGGCACTGGCAGACGACGATCTTGCTTGCGGCATTCTACTCCGCGTTTGCCAACGCTGCTGGGAAAGCAAAGCCATTCCAAAGTCGTGGCGGCGTGCAAAAGTCGTGCTGCTGCTCAAGAAAGGCGACGCCACGCTATCAGCAAACTACCGCCCTATCTCATGATTGCCTGTCGGGTACAAGCTCCTGGCTTCTATGCTGCATCAAAGGCTGATTGGTGGAGGGGCCGAGACCAGGATGCGGGACTCGCAGTAAGGATCCCGACTGGGGCGCAGCACCACAGACGCTCTGATGCTGGTGAGGCGCATGATAGACACCGCACACAACAGCAACTCGGGTGGGATGCTGCTCTTTGTGCTGGACTGGGCGAAAGCATTCGACAGACTAAAGCCAGACGTCATGTGCACAGCTTTGAAAAGGTTTGGGTTGCCCGCGGATGTGGTGAACATGATACGGGCGATCTACGAGAGCCGGCCGGTAGTTAGTGATACATGATCACACGGGTTCATTTTCTGAGAGACGTCAATGTGCACGTATTGCCCAAGGATGCCCGCTATGGCCCCACCTGTTCATAGCCGTACAAAGCGTTCTTCTGCATGACGTGTTCGAGCGAACCGATCTTCGCGACGAGCTGGCTTTCCTGGTTACCAGAGATGCTCTATATGCCGATGATAATCTGTTGGCATCACAGCACCAAGGGAGCTTACAATTCATGCTGAATGCCATCGTCGAAGAGGGCAGGAAGTACGGATTGGAACTAAATTGGAATAAGACGATATAGATGCAGATTTCGACAGGCATGATTATGACGAAACCGGATGGCGGACCAATGTGTGCAATAAGGGAGGCTGTTTACCTCGGTAGGCTGATCACGTGTGACGGTAAGGCGTCGTTGGAGCTATCTCGGCGCATTGGGAAAACCACGGGTATTTTCAACAAGGTACGGGAGATGTAGTCTCACTCGTCCATAGGCCTGGCGCGCAAGCTGCAGATTTTCGAGGCGTGCGTCCTGAGCAAGCTATTGGACTCCTTCGACTCAGTGTGGCTTCTCCGTGCTGAAAAGGCTCGGCTGGACGCTCTCCACTGAAGAAGCCTGAGGCGCATCATGGGCATCCAATGCTCGTACGTGTCAAGAGTGAGCAACGAAGAGGTCCTGAGTAGAGTGTCAGTTCAGCCACTTTCGGATGTCTGGCTTCCAGACAGGTCGCCTTGTACATGAAAATTGCGATGAGTAGCGGAGGCTCTTTCGTCAAGGTCCTTGGACGGTTCCCCACTAAAGTGGGCAGCCAGAAGGCGACGAGGCCGCCCCAGACAGCAGTTGGCAATGGAAGTGTAAAGACTGTTTCGATCATTTCGCATTTTGCGGTTGGTTTTCTCGCCCTCCCCCTCCTCCTTCCTCCTCCTCAGCCTCCTCATTCTCCTCCTCCTGCGGGGACGTTTGGTCCAGCACGCGGCGGTGCCGACGCGGCCAAATTGTGCTGGCATCTGTGAGTTTCCCGATGCGAATGCAGGCAGGAACCACGAGTGTTCTCGCCCACCAGCCCACGCATCCTTCAGGATGCTTGGCCATCTTGCTTGCTTGCTTGGGGTTCCTCGGTAGCGTCATTGTTCGCCTGCTCTTCAACCGTCGCCCCAAACCCGCCTGCAGGGGGACACGGCCCTACTCCCCCTGTGGAGGGACGTGCCCGACCTCCCCCTAGGACCAGGCCTTCCTCCAAAGCAGTCTTCCCTGGACGCCCCGAGGGCCTGGCCCAAAGAGGGCCCCCCCCCACCCGCGAGCTCCCGGAGGCCCACAGGCGGAGGCAAAGCCTCCCGTCGCAGCACTTCGCCACGCGAGGAGCCCACGGGACCCCCAAAGGTAAACCCTTCCCCAGGATTAGGTCGGACATGTCCTCCTACAGGCGGATTCTGGAAGACAAATAAGAAATTGTCCAAGAATATTCGAAAATGGTCGCCCGAGGGTTCGGTCAAAGGGCCCCCCCGCGAGCTCCCGGAGGCACACAGGCAGACGCAAAACCTCCAGTCGCAGCATTTCGCCACGCGAGGAGCCCATGGGACGCACAAAGCCATACTATAGAGGCCTCCAAGATGGGGTCGGAGTAGATGGGGTCGGAGGATCGCGCCGCATCGCTGATACATCGGCGACGTATCGCCGATGCGTCGGCGATGCATCGTCGACGTCGGCGATACATCGGCGACGTCGACGTGAAGCAAATCCGGCTCCGCATCGAGCCGCATCAGCGATGCATCGGCGATGCAGCGCCATCCTCCGACCCCATCTACTACAACCCCATCTAGGAGGCCTAGAAGCATTTCGCCACGAGAGGAGCCCATGGGACGCACAAAGATATAATTACTAGCACCAGACATGCTCGCGTCGTTTAAAAAATCAGGACGAGAGGTTTTTTCCCAATGTTCGGCCCCTGGGGGGCCCTCGTCGGGCCTCGGGACCGTCAGAAAACGACTCAGGACGAAAAGCCGGTCCCGGGGAAAGGGTCGGGACTGCCAGGGATGCCGTCCTGAAAAAAATTAGGACGTCGCATGTCTGCGCCAGCAGCGCAGCGGGCTCGAACGAGGCCGGCGTCAACCGTCGCAGCCACGCCGCGATCGCACACACACACACACACACACCACAAAGGCGGGCCCCCGTGATGATTACGTCGCGACGCCTGGCGAACTGAACGTTACAGGTTCCCGTGGTCGCCTGGCTGACGACCTTCGCCCCGAGGGCGGTGCAGCACGCGGCTGAGAGATGGCGGCGGCGGCGGCTTGAAGCCGCTGTTGAAAGCACCCTGCGATAACCTATTTCGTTTCCCGGCTTACGCGCCGCCTGATGCAGAGGACTCGCGCCAGGGATGTGGGATCCGAGGAAGGTTCATCACAGGCTGTTTGTCGCGCGGCCATCCCGCCCGCCAGCACACCTGCGTCGTTCTGCCGGCCCTGGCATTCCGCCTGCGGGTTCGTCTTCGTCTTCCTGCGCCTCGCCTCCTCCTACTCCTCCTCCTCCTCGTCCTCGTCCTCCTCCTCCTCCTCCTCCTCCTCCTCCTCCTCCTCCTCTTCCTACGCCTCGTCCTCCTCCTCCTCCTCCTCCTCCTCCTCCTCCTCCTCCTCCTTCTCCTCCTCCTCCTCCTCCCTCCTCCTCCGCCTCCGCCTCCACCACCTCCCGCCTTCCGCCGCCTCCTTCACCTCCTCCACCTTCCCCTCCTCCTCCTCCTTTCCTCCTCCTTGCCCCGCTCCGGCTCCTGATCCTATGCCTCCGCCGCCTCCACCTCCCCACCTCCCCCGCCTGTCCTCTCTTCCTCCGCCTGGGCAGCTGCTGGCACCCGCGCGCGCCCCGAACAGCCCAGACCCCGACGCCGTGATTCATTCACAGCGTGGCGCCCGTCCCTGGACCGGCGTTTCGCCCCGAGCCGTCCTCCGACGACCCCGTGGGCCGAGTGAGGGCCTCCCCGGGTGCAGAAGATGGCACATCACAGAGACTGCCGCCGTGATGTGCCCCACGGCGAGGGGCGGCCTGGGCCGCTCCTGTGGCAACCCCAACAGGGACTGATACCGCTACCCCCCCGACCTCTCCCAGGGTGCGCTCTGACCAGGACTTCAAGGCGAATCCAGCGGCGGCGACGAGGGCCTCCCAGGAGGCTCCAAAGAAGGGAAAACGGGCGAGGGGCTAGAGGTATGGGTAATTACCGACGACGACGACGACGACGACGACGACGACAATAACGATGACGATGACGACGATGACGATCATCGTCATCGTCATCGTCATCGCCGTCATCGTCATCGTCATCGTCATCGTCGTCGGCATCGTCATCGTCGTCGTCGTCGTCGTCGTCGTCGTCGTCGTCGTCGTCGTCATCATCGTCGTCGCCGTTCCTCCTTCGAGCTCCCCCTCATCCTCCGCTTGCGAGCCCCAGCTGCTGGCGCGCTCTCGCGCGCCGAGGGGGGGGGGGGGCAGGGCGGGGCTTCTCTGCCGCCCGAGCTCCGCGGACGGGGCTGCCCCGTGCCCCCGCTGCCCCGGCGCCGCCCCCGCCGGCTGCGCCTGCGAGGCGTGCTCGTGCGGAGCCGCGGGGGGTTGGCTCGGGGGTCTCCTCTGGGCAGGCAGTAAAAGCTCGCGAGAAGTGCATCGGTCATGCTGCTGCCTGCGGCACCGCCTGCTCTACGGGCGTCTGTTGTTCGCCTGAGCGTGCCCCGGCTGAGCGCATCGCGGCAGTGTCGTCACCGCGCCGAAGATCACGATCAGTGCATTGGCTATGTTGCTTGTTGCTCGTGCGGCCCCGCGGTGGGGGGCTCGGGGGTCTCCTCTGGGCAGGCAGTGAGCTCAGGAGAAGTGCAGTGGTCATGTTTCGGCTATACGCAAGAGTGGCCCTGGGTAAGAGTGACCTTTCGTGCGCGGCTGTTTGTAAGGGGCCGCGGGGGGAACAAACACAAGCGCGCAAGACGCTACTGCCGCATCGCGTTCGGCGATCGGGGGACCCCAGTGGGCCCGCAGGAAAGGCCACTCCAGCGACGGGTCACTCTTACGTGGAGTCGAAGGTGTCTGTCTCCAGCACCGCGTTCTCAAAATTCTTCTTTGACTGCTGTGCGCGTGTTCACCTATGTAAGCGTGACCCGGCTCAGCGCATCGCGACAGTGGCGAATGCGTGCGTGAGAGAGAGGAGGAGGACGAGGAGGAGGAGAAGGAAAGGAAAAGAGGAGGAGGAGGAGGAGGAGGAGATAGGAGGAGGAGGAGGAGGAGGAGGGAGGAGGAGGAGGAGGGGGAGAGGAGGGGAGGAGGAGGAGAGAGGAGGAGAAGAGGGAGGAGGAGGAGGAGGAGGAGGAGGAGGAGGAGGAGGAGGAGAAGGAACGGAGGAGGAGGAGGAGGAGGAAGAGGAGGAGGAGGACGAGGAGGAGGAGGAGAAAGACAGAGAGAGAGAGAGAGAGAGAGTTGATGCCTCACGCGAGTGTAGGATGGAAGGGGGCAAGCGATTGCCACATTGTGTCCCTGGCCAACGAGGGCGCCCAGCTGCCATTTTGAGGGCACAGCGCCACTGTGCAGCTTGTTGAGGGTACAACTGTTGCACGCCTTTCGGCTCTACATCGCCAAGTACGTGTACACCATCGCCAAGTTCGTATGCACCGCCGTCAGCTACACAAGCGAGCCTCATGACTTGCCTCACACATGCACCTGATAGCCTGCCTGGCCCTACGCCTGAAACAGCGCAGGGCCAAGGACAATCAATCAATCGTGCCCTCTCGCCTTTTCGCCCCCGATGTGCCCTCTGAGCCTCAAGTTGACACCAACATAGCCCCAGACTGCCTAGGAAGTGGTGGAGGAGGAGGAGGACGACGAGGAGAAGGAGGAGGACGACGAGGGGGATGGGGAGGGGGAGGGGGAGGGGGAGGAGGAGAAGGAGAAGGAGGAGGAGGAGGAGGAAAAGGAGGAGGAGGAGCCAGACGGCCCCAAGAGCGCCCAAGAGACCCAACAGCACGCCCCACGAGGGCCCCAAGATCTCCAGACGTGCAGGCCAATGCTGGCTCCCCTCTGGGCCCTCATCCTCCCGTCTCCCCTTCCTCCCCCTCCTGAATCCTCCTCCCTCCTCCTTCCTTCTCCTCCTCCTACTCCTCCTCCTCCTCCTCCTCCTCCTCCTCCTCGTCCTCGTCCTCGTCCTCGTCCTCGTCCTCCTCCTCCTCCTCCTCCTCCGCCTCCTCCTCCCGGGCGCGGCCGAACCGATCCTTGGCAAACCAGCCCCTTCCGTGGCGTCACCCTCGCCTTTCAAGCTTCCCAGACCCCTCGCGCTGTGACAAAAATCACGATGGGAGGTTTTTCTATGCTTTCGGCCTCCAGGGGCCCTTGCGGGGCCTCGGGGCCGTCAACAAGCGACTCAGGACGAAAAACCGGTCCCTGGGAAGGGGTGCAGACTTCTGGGGGTCGAGGTTGTGAACAACAATGCGACCTCAGGGATCGTGGAAACCAGCCCCTTCCGTCGCGTCACCCTCGCCATTCAAGCTTCCCCCCTGCCCCCTACATACCCAGACCCCCGACGTAATGATTTTTTCATTACGTCGACCCCCAGAGGTCTGGACCCTTTCCCCATGACCGCTTTGCATCCTGAGTCATTTTTTGACGCTCCCGAGGCCCGGCGAGGGCCCCCGGAGGCCGAAAATAGCCAAAAACCTCCCGTCCTGATTTTCTCATTGCCCGAGGGGGTCTGGGTCGTGCGTGCGGGCGAGGCGGAGCTGCGTGGGCGCGCGGGAGGCAGGGCCCCGCCGTCGCCGGGGCGAGTCGGGCGCAGCGGGCCGCCCCGGCGCCCCCGGGGCGGGCGCGCGGTGGCCCCGGGTGTCCCGCGTCCCGTGGTGTCCCGTTGGTGTCCCGTTGGTGTCCCGTTGGTGTCCCGTTGGGGTCCCGTCGGTGTTCCGTCGTCACCCTCGCCTTTCAAGCTTCCCAGACCCCTCGCGCTGTGACAAAAATCACGATGGGAGGTTTTTCTATGCTTTCGGCCTCCGGGGGCCCTTGCGGGGCCTCGGGGCCGTCAACAAGCGACTCAGGACGAAAAACCGGTCCCTGGGAAGGGGTGCAGGCCTCTGGGGGTCGACGTTGTGAACAACAATGCGACCTCAGGGGTCGTGGAAACCACACTGGGGATGGCTGGGGATGTCCCGCACCTTGGCATCGAGAGTGAGGTCGATCGTGAGATCGAGGACGAAATCGCTAGAAGGGGACGGGCAGCGGGATCAAAAGCGAGATCGGCAGTGAGACTGATTGTGGTGTTGGTTGTGCTCGCGCTGTCGGATGCGCATCATCACACCCATCGCATTTGCCAGAAGCTGGTTCTTTCCCCCACCCTCCAACCTCCTTCTCACCCGAAGGGTAGTCGTATAGGTACATATCTCGAGTGTGTAATGCGAGCGTGTTACAGAAAGCTTCAGCGATACCGCTGCCGCAAATGTTTCTTCCCAGCCAAGTGAAATTGTACCTTGTACAATCAAGTAGCTAATCATGACGCGGGTTCACTTGAACAACGCGTGCTTTTTGATGCAAGCGGGTCCCTCAGAGACTGGCCCTCGCCGCAGGAGGGGCCGGCCCCGTCGGCCATGGGCGAAGTCTGGGCCACAGACTTTCCCAACAGCTGCAGGATGCATTCGCAGCGCTCCGCTTCCTCCCTCTTTCCTCCTCCCTGTGCAGCCGGGATTCGGAGTCGCCCTCCCTGTCTGGCCGGCAGGAGGACTCCTCCTCCCTCCCTGCCTGGCTAGACGGGAAAGAGGAGTCCTCCGCCCTGTCTGGTCGGAGTTGGCGGCCCCCCCTGTCTGGCCAGGAGGACCCCTCCTCCCTCCCCCGCCCGGCCAGACCAGGGAGGCGGGGAGGAGCCCTCCTCCCTGCCCGGCCAGATGCTCGCCTCCTCCGGGGGCTGCCAGCGATGCTGCAGCTCGCTGTGCCCACGCGTCCCTCGGGATGCTCGGCTGCGGCTGTGGTGGCGGGGCCCGGCGAGGGCTCCCGGAGGCCGAGCAGTCATCGCTGTCGTCGTCGTCGTCGTCGTCGTCGTCGTCGTCGTCGTCGTCGTCGCCGCGCCCGTCGTCCAGACGGGCTCGCGTTCGCAACCGGACGCTCATGGACAGAGCCCCTCAGCGAGACGTGGCAGGAGTACGAGGTGCAGATCTGGGAACCTCCGCGCCGAGCGGCTTCTGGACGGCCCTGGGGCCCGGCGAGGGCCCCTATGGAGGGCGAGCACAACCCAGAGCCGCCCGCTCCAAGTGTCTTTGAAGGGGCCCCAGGACACACAAATAAATACACACAAATAAAACAAATCCCCATATTTTCACATATTTTCTGGGTTTCTGTCTTCCCCCCCACTTCCCATATTTTCCCATATTTTCTGGGGAATCGACGATTAATTGTGTCTGTGTGTTTCTTTCCCTCCTAAGTCTTGGAGCGTCGGATCTCGGGGGTCACTCTGGCACAGGGCAGCTGCGGCGCGCAGCCCACTATGGGCCCGCCCCCGACACTCCTGCGAGGTGGGGATCCTTAGCCACATCCACCGCCCTGGCACCGACGTCTTGGTCGCCCAGCGAGCAGTGGATGTGTGGGCACATTTTGCCCCTGGTGGCCCGACTATACACGAATCGCCACCGCCTGTGGAGGTCCGCGAAGGTCGATCCCTCAGACGTTGGTTACCCAGACCCCCGACGGCGTGATTTGTTCCACGTCGTCGACCCCCAGAGGTCTGGACCCCTTCCGCAGGACCAGTTGTTTCTCGCATCGCATCGCCAGCGGCACGGAAGCTGTCTGAACTATCACGGTGCGCCTTCACACCCCGTGGCAAGCATCTGGACGCCTGCTGCTGAAAGCTGTGGCCGAACAGTTCGGTTTCAACATGATTAAATCCATGAGTTGACGCTCTGGCCGAGGGGCCCTGCAGCAGCACTCTGGATGCCGCGAGGCCCATTTTTCATCCAGAGTCGCTTTTCTGGACGGCTACGAGGCCTGCTCGGGGCCCCCCGGAGGCCGAAGATTGAAAAAACCTCCCGTCGTGATGTGTTCACGGCGCAACGGGTCCGAGACAGTCGGGCACATGCCAGCAGGAGAGCTTAGAATCGAATCGATCAGCTGGATCGGCGATCGACATGAATCGGATCGGCAGACGTCGGCAGCCGAGCCGGGAGATGTCGAACTGGCGGACATCCGAAGGCTACAGTATGCCTCCGCCGAAGCACCGGAGCCCAAACATCGGAAGCCGAAGCCGAATCGAATCGGAAATGGAAGCCGTCAAAACCCAGACATGCGACGTCCTATGTTTTTGTGGACGGCGTCCCTGGAAGTACCGACCCTTTGCCCGGGGCCGGCTTCTCACTGCAAAGAGTTTCGTGCCGGCCCCGAGGCCCGGCGAGGGCGCCCCGGGGCCGAAGATGGCCAAGAACCTCGCGCCCTGATTTTTACGGTTCTACGGCGCGATCATGCCTGAGGCTGATGCTTCTTCTCGGCGCGTCCTCTGTCGGCGCTGCTCGGGGACAGCTTTCTGTCGACCGCCCCTGTGGGCGGGAAAAGCCGAGGCGGCGCTTCCAGCAGGAGGAGGGGAAGCAGAAGCAGGGACCAAGAGAGGAAGAGGAGGACAAGGAGG